TAACTTCTATGGAGTCTCTCCTGCCTCAAAAAATCGTGGTATGGGAGCCCGCTCAGTAGTTGAAGACGACTGTGTGTGACTTTCAGTGGTGTCGAACCACCATTTCCTTATTAACTCTGAGAGGGCCCTAAACCACCTGAAATAATGGCAAGTACGCTGCTTGTACAGACCCATCAGCTCTTGGTGCCGGAGTACAGGGAGGTACTTTGTTGAGTGTAAAAGGCACTTTGCCTGCACCCAAGCAGAAATAACTTTCTTTTCTAAACAGAGCTTCAGTGCAGAGCAGGTGCAATCTTGAACTTGTTGAAGGCAGCAGTCTGCTTTTACTTTCATATCTTGAGATGCGTCAGAATTACCACATCCTCCCACTGCGGTGGTGGTGACCGTGTCTGATTTTTAGCTGTTGTGCAAGACAAAATAGTGTCTGTTCCCAGACTCAGAGATATTTTGTCCTCTTCTGCTGCTGTTTACAGTTAGTTCTCTTCTGCATTGTAATCTCTTCTTTCTGCCTGCTTAATCTTTATAACTCTCCATATATAAAACAGGTACTTATTTTATGCCTCTAGTTGATGTTGATAACATGCAGCCATGATTACTGATGAATTAGGAGTGAAACCTGCTCACATTCAGTTTCTTTAGAACTTCTTCAAGCTGATTAATTCTTACTTAGATGGAGAAGGTGGCTTGCTTTTATTCTCAAATTGTTTATTTTGGAAAAAATGTACCAAAATCAACTTAGTTGTTTCAGGTGTTTAATTGAAAGAGTAACCTATGTACCAATTAGAAATATTATCCTTTCCTATTTCAAAAATCACCACAGCAACTATGTTTGAAATTTGCTTCAGCTGATGAAAACTCAAAAAAAACCAACCAACCAAAACCCAAATACAAACCAACAAAAAACCCTACAGTACTAACTGATGTAACTTTTGCCTACAAACTTCCTATTTCGCTTCTGGCTCCTTAAGTTCATGCTTGGAATCCTCCTTTGAGAAGCACAATACTGGAAGTTCATGTCATCCCACATAATGCTTTGAATCTCATCTGAGTGGAGTGCATAAAGTACTTGGCACTGATAATCACTTAGTGTACAAATCTGTAGCATGTATATCTTGGACCCATTTGGGTTTCTCAGGATTATTTTTTTTTTTTCCATACCCATTTTGTGCTCTCTTCTCTATTTTCACAGACAAATGCAGGAAATGAACCAGACATGGAAGATGAACAAGTTTGCTGTGAAGCATTGGAGGTGATGACCCTGTGTTTTGCTTTGATTCCAACAGCACTGGATGCACTCAGTAAAGAGAAGGCATGGCAGACCTTTATCATTGATTTGCTATTGCATTGTCACAGCAAGTAAGTTTTGGTGCTGGATTTTCTTATTTTTTAATCACATATGTTATTTTACAATTCAAAATTATTATGAAGCCTAACACAGAGCAGTGACTTGGTGTTTAAGTGATTTTTTTTTTTTTCTGCAGTTGCCTTAATTTGGTGTTTAGCAATATAAATCTGTAATTTGGATACCCATCCTAAGGTTACCACCTTAGGTATCAGTCCCATCTCCTTTGTGCTTATAAGGAGGATATTGTCAATCCAAATGGATACCTGATAATGTGCTACTTATGTCTTTAGAACAACTTATTTAGAATAAAATAATGGGTACTTTATATTTTTCAGAAATTATGTGAATACTTACTACATTAGAATATTTCAGTGACTTAAGTATAGAAGAACTTTCCTGTACTTTTTGTGGTAAATAAAGGCAAGATACAGTACTAGCAGTTTGAGGAGAAGGAGGAGTTAAGATTTAATCCTCTTGTTTTCTTGCTTTGGAGTGGTGTGCTTGTGACTCTTCTCATGACTCACATATTTTATATAGAGCTGTCACACTGGAGCTATCACCCAATGCAGTAGCAGTGTCTTGGAGGAACCCTTAGCCCTGTTGGGGGATGGACAGAGGGGGAAAACCAGCAGGAGCTGCCAAGAGCGATGTAGTTCAGTTGCCCTGCAGTCCTGCTGTAGAGATCAGGGATCTCTTGTTATCTCCTGGCTATTCTTCCAGATCTCCTTAGACAGCATCTGCAGAATACAGCATCTGTACGATGCATGCCTTGTGACTTCTAGCCCATCTCAAATTAGGATGTGAAGTATTGGGGTGTGTATTTTTAGAAGCCATCCAGGTGGAAAGTTTTTGTGTGTTGTTATTAAACTTAGTTACCAGTGCTTTGAACTTTTACTAAAGATTTAATTCTAGTTTTGTAAGATGTCTTCACTGTTCCATTAATATTTTAACTTTTCTTTGAGAAATTACAGAGATGAGAAATTAATGAAGTTGTCAAAGCCTTTCAGTAGATTTTAAATGGAGTCGTGGTGGTCTCAGATGAATGGGGACAGAATTTCGGAACCATTTTTTGAGTTTTTTACTTTTCTAGGTAAAACAGGTTTTGAAAGTCCTATGTTCAGGAATATTCACCATAACAAAAGGATTAACAGTATCGTCAGAGTATCACAGGATCACAGAAGGGTTGGAAGGGACCTCAGGAGATCATCTAGTCCAACCCCCCTGCCAAAGCAGGTTCCCTACAACAGGTTGCACAGGAAAGTGTCCAGGCGGGTTTTGAGCATCTCCAGAGATCTCTTTACAATGAACTATTTGCCCACATTGGTGAAACTGTAGAATGTTATTATCAGAATCCCACAAGCTTTATTAGTTTGCAACCTGTGGTATAGGTTGTTGAATTTTCAGTTTTACTGAAGCTTATTATTTTCACTTAAGTTAGAGAAGTTTAACAAAACATGCTAAAAAATTATGTTGTAATTTTACACATTAAATGAAACAAGCTGTCTTTCACTGTTTTTGGTAACTTTCAAGGCTGATGAGTAGGAAATCACTAAATTTTATTTTTAAAACTGTCAGCAGTTGATATCACGTTACTATTTTGATAGTAAGTGTGTCGGCCACGTGTCACATTTGGAGTCCCAGTACAGCTGAATAAGCAGTTGATATCACGTTACTATTTTGATAGTGTGTCGGCCACGTGTCAGATTTGGAGTCCCAGTACAACTGAATAAGCATGAGCAAGTGTCAGTGCTGTTCCGCCCTTTGATTTTTGATGTGGGTCCGAAGATTTATCAGATTTGTCACTTTTTTACATGGTCTTAATTCTACAAATATAAGTAACGGGTGATAACTTTTATAATAAATTTCACTGTAGTTATCTGACTTTCTGGCATTGTATTTGGAATTTCAGTGTCACTTCTCAAGTGTTCACTAGCATTTGTTCATGTTTTGGTTAGTGTTTGATATCAACACTTGTTACCGCTCTTTCAGTCTTAGAAAACTGCAGATGCTTTTTGTGAGGATTTTTCTGTTCTGGTCATGTTTCCTTAAGGAAGTGAACTATTGGTTTTAATTGGGAACCTCTAAATCTGTAAGTCTTGAGCAGTTTGGTCTCTGAATTTTATTGTGTAGGTTCCACTTAACAGTTTTTTAGCAAAACCTACAGTCTTGATTCACAGATGGGAATATCTGTCGTGATTTTGCCAGTCTCTTCCTGTGGTTATTCTTCTTGCTAATTTGAGCTTTGTTGAGTGAATTTGAATCCCAGCTATTTCATATTGTTATGCTCAGACTGTTGTACTTTTCTTCCTAAAAGATTGGAAGAAACTAGATGTGTCCCCAGGCTGGGGCTTCTCTTTCCAGATGTTTTGTTGGCATGTCAGCCCAAGTCTGAATGGCAGTGGCTTAATTCCCCAGATGTGTTAGCATTTTGCCATTTAAAAATAAGAGTAGCATTAATGGATTGGGTTTGTTTCGGTTATTTGTCAGAGGGGATAAAATTTTTAAGGACTTCTCTTATCCAAGTGGACTACTACTCAGCTCCTTATCTCTGCTTTATTTTTCTACCAGATACTGTCAGTACAGGCAGCTAACCATGGAACTCTTTTCTCTCATACACTTGTAAAACTTCTGATATATCTTGCACTCTCACTTAGAATGCAACTGTTCCTTATTACATGATAGTTAGAATAGTGTAAACATGAGTGAAACAGAAGACTGCTTTGGAAATGAAGACAGTGAAATTGAACTAAGGTAAAAAAAACAGTTGTTCTTCTGAATTAATGTGGAAGCAAATCAGTGTTTGCAGTCCAGAGAAAGAAAGTTTAGCAAATACCAGACAGAATTCTGAATATCATTCAGTTTTCAGCTATTGTTCTCTAATCTCCTATCCCCAGAGAACAATGTGAGCAAAAATGTGATGTGAGAAAATGTTTTTGTTGCACCATAAACAACGAGGAAGAAGATGAAGTTCAGATCTCACAAATATAATCTTTCTGGAAAAGATCAGGTGGATTGGTGGGGTTTTTTTGTTTCTTTCAGAGGTTGAGATTGCATTGGAACTTCTGCTGTTTCCTCATAGCATAACCATGCTACCTGTAAATTGAGAAACAGAATGCAAATGGTGTGATACTAAATACTAGAGCAGTTTTTACTTTCCAAGTAAGGTAATTGATTTTATAGTGGTGACCCCTGAATACAAGACTGGCTTAGTCAACAGTAGATAGCTGAACAGTTAGTCCTAAATGATTCTGGAACCCAGAGGTTGCTGCAACCTCAGGAACCCTGATTGCTGCAAAGTGGTGGTCATACATATGTGGCCCACAGAAATAAAAATTCTTACTGCCTGTGTAAAGCAATGGCACTGAGACCTGATGGAGAGGCTGACTTCTGTTAACTAAACAGAAATCTGTGTCTTGGAGCTAACAGTTAGGAGAGGATTCAGGTTGCCTGCCTTAATAGAAGCATTTGGCCTCCAGCTGCTTCACTGGTTGAGTTGAGAGTTCATCTTGCAACTTGTGTCCTATCTACCAGCTCTACACTGTTGTGGTGCCTTAACATGGTGCTAGATGCCTGCATTTAGGCATCTGCACTCCTCCCATGGTGCGTTAGGAGCTTTTAGGTTGTTATAGCCTCAGAATACAATACTCGTGTTCAAATGCTGCATATTCCTTGGAGACATAACAGTGTGAAATATGTGTTTCCTTGGTCACATTTCTCACTTTAGGAAAGTACCACCTTTATCTATTTCATTTTGCCTTTAATGCATGAAATTGAGGAGCGTCTGTGTGATGTGTCCCAAGCAGTTGAAGAGTTGCATCTTAAAAGAAATTTCTGTGAGAAGTTTTATGAAAACATCAACTCAGCAATCAGATCCCATAAAATGTCAATTATTATTAAGAACAAAACAGACCCCCTCTACCTCATGGTCTTCTGCAACTCAAAGCAATGTAGTAGAACTTGCAAGGATCAGACAAGGGTGACAAGGCAGATCAAAGCTCTGAAATTACTTCCATCTGAGGAACAGCTGAATAGCTTGGGGCGCTTAGCACTGAAGAAGAGATAAATGGTGGGAGGAGAATACCACAGAGACCTTTAAAATCAGATGTAGCAAAGGGAGAATAAATAGAGAACAGTGTTTCTTTGTATAAGAACTTCGTGAGCATAACATTTAAGTGGTGTAAACCTTCAGTTTGGAAATAGTTTGAGGGGTTCTTTAATGAGTTTGTCTAGTGAGGGCTATGAAATACTGCTTTTGGTACCCTTCCTGAAACAGAAATTGTTAGCAGCTGAGAGAACGTTCTGGAGAAGTGTCATTGCATGCGTCCCTCTTCTTCTGCACTTTCCTAGATGTATACCAGAGACAGGGTGCTCAGGTAGGTGCATCTTTGCTCTGACCTCATGGACATGCTTGCATGTCTTTGAAGCACAGTTAACCACACATGGAAGAACTCTGAAGGAAAAAGGATTCTTTCATGTGCTTTCCACAGTGACCTCATGAACAGAAAACAATGACAGCCACACCAAAAAGGCACTGTAAAATTCATGTTCCTTATATGTTGAGATGCTTTCATAAAGCACAGGCATTCATTTTTGTTCTCTTCCTGCCCAAGCAGAATTGTTTCTAACAGTTTTTACAAGATATAATGCTCAGACAATCTTACAACTTGAAAAAATAGTGTTTGCCTTAATTTTTTTTTCCTTATCCCTTCCCACATTAGTCCAGTGGTTGAATAAGTTCTTAGATTAAAAACTTCCTTTCATTCTAGCTACCTGAATTTTTAGGGGGTCATCTTTTCTCATTTCTTACTAATAATAAATCACTTCACAGATGCTCAGCGAACTGCTGTAGTGGTACATAAGAGCAGTTTTACTAGGGTAGTTCTGTTTTGTCTTTCAGGCACAAGTGGTGCTTGGTTAGAAAAAACAGAAAAAAATATTTAGGGTTACAAATTGCTTGTTGTGTTATGCAATATTTACCAGCAGTTGCAAAGGTTTAGTGGTTAGGTGCTGTTAAGTTTCTTTTACCTTTAAATATTTGATTGGTGGAAGAGATTTTGTAATAGTAATTCCTGTGTCTTAAAATTGTACTACAAGGAGAAACAGTGTGATGGGTAGTGAATAATTAAAGTATTCTCATTTAATACCTTATGTGCACTTTTAGAAAATGGCATTAAGTGGATAAGCACAGTTTAATTTTTTTTTAATGTCCTGTTTGGATAGGGAGATTTCATTTAATGTTTCTATTAAATTATTTACAGAACTGTTCGTCAGATGGCACAGGAGCAATTCTTTTTAATGGCTACGAGGTGTTGCATGGGACAGAGACCTCTGCTTTTCTTCATTACCCTGCTGTTTACTGTTCTAGGGGTAAGTTTTTAGAGGCAAAGGCTTCAGTACAATGTAAATTTCTTTAAAAAGTAGAAAGACAAAATATCTGCAAGAAAAGGCAAATTGCTATTAACAACAGTCATTAAAATATAGATTCCTTTTGACCTTTTGACCTCTAGGCAAGCAGCACAGTCGATTTCAGTTTGAGTTAAGACGAGAGGGAAAGGGACTTTCTTGCGTTTTCAGATAAGAACATGAACAATAAGCTTTAATGTGTCTATTTCATCCAGTGAATGCTAACCTTTAAGTAAAAATCATAAGCGGATTAGATCGATACCTACAGTTTCTGCCTCTTTTATTGGGCCTGCCAGGGCTTCTCAATTCTATATGCTCATGGCTCTCTTGAACATTTAGTTTAGTCTGGAGAAAAGGAGGCTGAGGGGAGACCTCGCTCTCTACGACTACCTGCGAGGAGGGTGTAGTGAGGTGGGTGTTGGTCTCTTCTCTCAAGTAACAAGTGATAGGATGAGAGGAAATGCCCTCAAGTTGTGCCAGGGGAGTTTTAGAGTGGATATTAGGAAAAAATTCTTTACTGAAAGAGTGGTGAAGCATTGGAACAGGCTGCCCAGGGAAGTGGTGGAGTCACCATCCCTGGAGGTGTTCAGAAAATGTGCAGACATGACACTTCAGGACATGGTTTAGTGGGCATGGTGGTATTGGGTTGACGGTTGGGCTTGATGATCTTAGAGGTCTTTTCCAACCTTAATGATTCTGTTCCATTCTGTTCTTTTCTATTTGATCACTTCACTGTTCCCATTCAGGTGTAGAAATTGCTATTAAAATAGTCCAGAAGTCATTCATTAACAGCTAAATAAAATTGTAAACTTCTGAGGGTTTAAGAGAATCTTACACTTCTCTTCTTTCATGTTTATTGCCAGTTTTAGAGAAAATATATTAGTGTTGCACTATAAGTAGAAGCATGTGTGAATTACATATCTTTTGGTTTTTGTTTACATAGAGTACTGCAAGGGAGAGAGCTAAGCATTCTGGAGACTACTTCACTCTGTTAAGACATCTTCTTAACTATGCTTACAACAGTAATATTAACGTACCCAATGCTGAAGTTCTTCTCAATAATGAAATTGACTGGCTTAAGAGGATTAGGGTAAGTTTTAGGATTGATTTATTTCTGATAATCAGCTTTTTGCTGCTTTGTTGTACAGTTTTAAGCTCGGAAATGTTTATTATTTAGGGTATCCTAACTTTCTCTTGAATGGCAGGATGAAGTAAAAAGAACAGGGGAAACAGGTGTTGAAGAAACTATCTTAGAGGGTCACCTTGGAGTAACAAAAGAGTTGTTAGCATTCCAGACACCTGAGAAGAAATACCATATTGGTTGTGAAAAAGGAGGTGCTAATCTCATTAAAGTAAGTTCAAGCTTTTTGACCTATGGAGTGTTGGGGGTTTTTTTCCCACTATAAATAGGTAAAAGAAGCTTCATATCTTGTGGTCTGTAACCATAAAAGGTTCCAATTTAACTGTTTGATAAAGGTTTCTAATTGGAGTTTAATGTTTTCTTTAAAACTGGTTTGGTTTTTGGGGGGGTTTTTTTAAATTACACATTTCATTCATAAGGGTACTTACCATTCTCATTCTTGGGAACCACTGCCTATGGAGTTGCTGTTACCTAGTCAGTGTTACTCCAAGACTTGGCAAACATCACACAAGGGTAGGGAGCTAGATACAGGATAGTCGTGTACAAGAGTGCTTTCTTTCAGTACCCCTGCATTTTCTTCATTACCCTGCTGTTTACTGTTCTAGGGGTAAGTTTTTAGAGGCAAAGGCTTCAGTACAAAGTAAATTTCTTTAAAAAGTAGAAAGACAAAATATCTGCAAGAAAAGGCAAATTGCTATTAACAACAGTCATTAAAATATAGATTCCTTTTTGCAGTCTTTTCTGCACATGTTCTTAATTAGTGCTTAATGTTTTATGGCATGTTTGAACAAATGCATGACACTTGAGCGTCTCTTTAATCAGATGTATTTTCTTTGTAGCCTTGATATTATACAGCAGCAATATTGTTTTTTTCAGCACTTACTGATAAAGAGCTTTATAGGTAATACTGATTTGACAAAATAAAATTTTACCAATCAATAATAATACAGAACTACTTTTAACTTGCAGTGTGGGGGAGTGGGTTTGCAGGGAACCACTTTAGGATAGATTTATTCTGTTCTAAATTTAAAACCTCGTTACAATATTGGTCTCAGTTTTATCTCTTGTCGTTTTTAAGTACTCCTCTAGTTCTCAGACATTAATTTATATAACAACTCTTATTCTGTTATAAAATAGTGTGCATTTCTAAAGTAACAGGCAATTTATTTCCTTTTGGTTTTTTTTTCAGGAGTTGATAGATGATTTCATCTTTCCAGCATCCAATGTTTATCTGCAGTACATGAGAAACGGAGAATTGCCTGCTGAGCAGGCCATACCAGTCTGTAGTTTACCAGCTACGATTAATGCTGGCTTTGAGCTACTAGTTGCACTAGCAGTTGGATGTGTCCGAAATCTAAAACAAATAGTAGACACCTTGACTGAAATGTATTACATAGGTACAGCAATCACTAGTATGTAATATTTTTATTTATCTATTTGCTACTTTTTAATGTATATATTATGTATATATTTTGTTTATATTATCAACTGAACTAGTTGATGGTTTTTTAGTTTGTGGTTTCCTTGTGGTTGCTTCTAATGTTGCAAAATCAGGCTGTCAAAATTTAGATAAGTTTAGCCTTTATTTGTTCTTCCTTATGCAGTAAATGTATTGACTTGCATGACATGATTGCATCCAAGTTCCAGCTCTGGTCATTTACACAGTCTGACCCTTCTTACCCCAATCTCTGGATACTTCCCTTTGTCCCTGCCAGCTCTCAGGAACCTCATTCTGTCTGTATCTTCTACTTTTGTCTCATCATTTCAGGCTCTGCCTAACCAATCCCAGAACCTCATCAGGTATTGTCAGCTTAGTTTTAGTGCCAGTCTCTTGGTTGCTCACGTAATTTGTCATCATTGTCCACACACAGGTCCACTGTCCTGTTTCCCTTTTTAGTTCTGTACTCGTTCTCTGCTTGTCATAGTCCTTTCTCAGACATTTGTTCTCTCAGTTTCGGCCTTGTCTCAGCACAGCTCTGCACTTAAAGAATTTTCTCCTTCTCACTGGAGAAAGATTACAGTAATTGCAGTATGTACAAAAACTTAAAAATGTTAGTGTTTCAAAAACCTGTGGCCAAATGAAACTTGGGCTAATTTTCACAAGCGTGGCAGAAGGCACATACTTAACACAGATTTTGTTATCAATAAAAAGTGTGTAAGACTTCCTTAAAATGAACAAGCAGGAGCTTATTTTCTGCAGCCCTAAATGGGATAGCTAAACCATTTCAGCTGTAATATTAACAGGGAGAGGTGGGGGGAGACAATACACGTGGGATGACAACACACACCAAACTTGAGCTGATATGGGAAGAAAGGCTCTAGGGATAGAGTTGGGATTGTTCAGCCTGGAGAAGCAAAGGCTCTTGGGAGACCTTTTTATGGCTTTTTAATATATAAAGGGTGCTTGTAAGAAAAATGGGGATAGATTCTTTACTGGGGCCTTTAGTGACAGGACAAAGGACAATAATTTTAAACTGAAAGAGGGTAGATTTAGATTTAGCATTAGGAAGAAATTCTTTACCATAAGGGTGGTGAGACACTGGAACAGGTTGCCCAGAGAAGCTGTGGATGCCCTGGGAGTGTTCAAGGCCAGGTTGGATGGGACTTTAAGCAGCCTGATCTAGTGAGAGATGTCCTGCTCACAGCGGCGAGGTTGGACTATAGGTGATCTTTAAAAGGGCCTTCCAACCCTAACCATTCTATGATTTATCAGAATATTTAAACCTGTATAGTTTAGCAAAACAATAAGCAGCTAGAAATACTATCCCATAGTGGGAATTGTCCACTGCCTCTCAAAATGGCGGTGCTGCTTGCCCAGTCGGTGGTATCAGTGAATCATTTCAATTAGTTTTTTGATCTCTTCCTCTTTGATTCCATCTCAGATGAACAAATGAAAAGGGCAACTTTATGGTTCCCCCTTGCCTCGTTCTTCCCGCCGCCCACACCTTTGTCTATCGGGCAGTAGTGTATTTCTTACCACCTCACAATTAGAAGGATTTTATGGTGTTTCTTTCTACTCAAATACTTGATAAGTGCGATACAACACCAGATCTCCATGGTACATCAGACAGAAGAGAGAACACATGTTATGAACAGTGCATGCTGTGTGTTTCATATACCAAGTAAAGCTTGCTTATAAACACTCATGCTCTCTTACTTTCTTTTACATCAGATTTTTTTGTGTTAAAACCACAGAACAACAGGTTAGCATAGGAAACTTGTGGTTGTAAATGTACTCTGAAGAGATGTGAGAGGTCTGAGGGAGAAGACTCAGAAGGAAAAAAATCTGTCACAACACGTATAGATAGCATTATCTAAAACTGTTTTGCATCCTGGCAAGCGAAAGTGAGGCATATGTGAAATACTGTAATTTTAAAAGGATTATAAATTTGTGAAAGGCTTATAAATTGATTATATATTCTAGATTCATTCAACAAAATTCTTTGGCTAAGAAACTTGCTGGTATCGAGGGAAAACTTCTATTTGATACATAAATAGACTGATTTTTTTTCTGGCCACCTTTTTAGTTATGCAATAGAAGAAAATGGTGTAATATTAAGATTACAGATAAACCTACCATTCAGAAAAATTGTTTTAATTTTAGCAATTAAGTTTTTTGGTAAGACATTTGTTTCATTAAACTGCAGCGTGATACAGACAAATACTAATTTTATGCAACTGCCCTTTGTACTGCATTGATGGTCTACTTCTTATATAAGAAAATAGTTTCCTAATCATGTTCTGCTGTTTTCTTTTAGCTTGTGAAGCGCTTACAGAATGGGAATATCTGCCACCTGTTGGGCCTCGACCGCCAAAGGGATTTGTAGGGCTAAAAAATGCTGGTGCCACTTGTTACATGAATTCTGTCATTCAGCAGCTGTACATGATTCCAGCCATCAGGAACGGGATTCTTGCAATTGAAGGCACTGGCAGTGATGTAGATGATGACATGTCTGGGGATGAAAAGCAGGACAATGAGGTAAATTTAATTATGTAGAACTTGCTTATCTTTGAAATAGAATTCTTTTTTATTAAAAGGTATAAAAAAACATCAGTTGCTAATCAGTTTGCTTTCCACTGCTAGCAGTGGGGACAATAGCATAGTATTTCTTACTTGAGTAGGCTCACAGCCAGAGAGGCAGTTCAGAAGGTCAAAGTTAGCAGGGCTTGCAGACTTCCTCCTCATAGATTTGCACTTGAAAGCACCACATAGCACTTCTGCCACGAGAACTCTTAATGCATACAAAGAAATCATTTGTTTCTTCACATGAGAATATGAAACACCTTAGACTGTAAAATTAAAACAAGGGTTGCAACTAGCTATGGGACAGCTGCGTAACAAAGTTAATTGCACAAATTTTCTTCTGCTTTTCAGAGCAATGTTGACCCACGAGATGATGTGTTTGGTTATCCACATCAGTATGAAGACAAACCAGCACTGAGTAAAACAGAAGACAGAAAAGAATACAATATTGGAGTTCTGAGGCATCTCCAAGTAATTTTTGGTCATTTAGCAGCTTCCAGGCTACAGTACTATGTACCAAGAGGGTTTTGGAAACAATTTAGGTAAGTTATTATTGATGTCTGCTCACTAGACAACTGAAATGCAACAAAACTAATTGTAGTAGAAGAAATTATAGTGATGTGAAGTGTAAATTAGCAGAACTTGTTCAGCATTGTATGTTATCCTACCTTTTCACCATTCTGTAGAAGTCTGTTAATAAACCAAAGTTTAGAGTGATACTCAGAAAGCCAGTCAGAAGAAACTCTCTAAGACTGGTTTTGGAGTTTTAGAAAGCAGGTATTCCTTATTGCAGCGCTGGACACACACGGCGATCGCTCCCCCAGGGAGTGTGTGTGTCTTTCTTTCAGCACACATTATATTGACCTAATACATGTATATTCATTGGACTTCCGATAAATTATCTACATATTCAAAACATTTGCTGTAACTATTTAGCATATGTAAATGTCCTTCTTGCTTGTGCAGTAAAATGAGTCGGTGGTCTTTTGATAGTCTTCATCACTGTGTCCGCTGATTGAACTCCTCTTTGATTCTGCTCAGTGGTGTCTCTCTTACACGCTTGGGACAGTATTCCCTGAAGAATGTTTAGTCATTAATCTTTATTTATATGTCCTTCTTCAGGCTTAAGCACTTCTGATAGTTTTATGTTAGAACATTCACAAAAGGTCCTAAGGTTTTCAAATTCTCAGGGGGCTGAGGAGAGCAGTTGTGAGTTCGCAAGAATGAATGATCTAAGCAAGCAGATACGTGTGAAACAACTAGGTGATAAACGTTCACTTCAAGGCTGTCAGCAATCTAAGAGGAATGATGTAATGTAACAACTGGGTGATTTCTAAATCTTCTGCTACCTAAGGATCTTGTTAAGTTTTACAATGAAGTAATTAACAGATGCAAGTGAAGCCACTAAGTGATTTATAAATCTTCTAACTTTTAAGATCTTACTCTTTCAAGAGCAAGATAGTTATTTTGAATTCTAGCTGTTTAATATTGAGACTTTGAATTAAGCATTAAATTATACACAAAAGTTTGTTCTTACTTACCAGTAGGTAAGTGTTAGGGACAAAGTAACAGGTGATGTACTATATCACAAACCAATAAATAGTTTTGCTCAGTAACAAAGAGAGATTAGTAGCTTGAATAATATTTTTTTGGAAAATAAGTTGTTGGAGAGCATAACAAAAACAAAAAAATATGTTACAAGAATGTGCTTTTATTTTCAGACTTTGGGGTGAACCTGTAAATCTACGTGAACAACATGATGCTTTAGAATTTTTTAATTCCTTGGTGGACAGTTTAGATGAAGCTTTAAAAGCTTTGGGCCATCCAGCAATGTTAAGTAAAGTTTTAGGAGGGTCCTTTGCTGATCAGAAGATTTGTCAAGGATGCCCACATCGGTAAGTGTTTAAAATTCTTCTTCCTTACAGAAAAACAACCTGTGTTTGTATCCTTATAAAAGTGAGAGTGGGGTTTTGTGTGGCTTTCATCTTGTTTTTTTTTTTTTTAAAGCTAATAGAATTTGCTACCTTGTTTTTTGTACAGCCTTAACATTAATTTGTCTTCAAGTGTCTTGAAATATGTGATTGTTATTGCTTCTACTCAGCAGATTGTATGTGAAGCATTGTGTATTGATCAGAGGAGAAAAAGTGTTTTTGTGTTAAAAGTGAAAACAATTTAGTGACCAAATGCAATGTATGAAATTAAGATTTCTGCTGTATTTTTAATTAAATTGTGAATACTGAAATTCATCTTCATCTAAGGTATGTTTAAAAAAAAACCAAACCAAAACCACCACACCACACAATACACCCAAACAAATGACACACACGTACCAAATCAGACTGAAAGTCTGTAGCCCAGTGTCTTCATGATGGTGATCAATGACAAATGCTTAGTGAAGGAATAGAACTAGACATTGTACTTCTCTAGACTGTGTCCCTTTTGAGGTGGATGATTAAAATTGCTTGCAAGATTCAAGATGGCCTAACGATGGACTTGCTCTTTTTCAACAGTTGTCTTTTTTATTGTAGTGTTAAATTTTGCATCACTAACAATTGGCCTTTTCACTGTTGACTACATCTTTCAGATCATGTGTGGTTCTTAAACACTACAGATCTCTCTGCACATTACCATTGGAAATTCTCTTCATTGTGAAAGTTAACCATTTACTGTTATTCTTCAATTAGCAATTAAAATACAGTAAAAAACACTGATACAGACTGATTTTTATTGCAGTCATCTTTCAACTTCAGATGAGCTCATATGTGATTAGAAGAACTTAAAAGTAGAACATCTTAAGTTTCATAGATTAAAATGTGTGATCAGAAGTAAGTTGAAATATTGCAAGATAAAATGAAAGCACTGATTTTATTTTTTATGCAGTGGGTAATGAAGTTAAAGATACAGATGTGAAGCAACATGAGTTATCATTCATTCCTGATGTTATGTACAACCCTGAAGTATTACATGTCTTTTTGGAACTCTACTGGATTTGCATAATTGTACTTCTTAATAAAAATGTTACCCTGATTGTAGTTTAGGGAGGCGAAAACTGATGATAAACGATACTATTGGATTAGAGTATGACGGATGAACAATCTTTCTAAATTTGTAAGTTATTTAATAGATGAATGAACATTACTGTTTTGGTTGGAGTGTTTCTAAATATTAATATAGTCACTGTTATAAAAATCCTTGTATGCTTGACTGCATATCAGAGAAACAAGCCCTGCAGGGTTATGTTGGAATAGATGCAACTTTTTAAATTTATTCATCACTTCTTTATCTTTAAAGAAAAAGAAAACTGTTTCCAGGATGTCTTAACTGGTTGTCTCCCAAGTATTGGTGGTTCATTGCTAGGAGTTTGTTTGAAGGTTATATCAGAACACAGTAAGTCAAAAGCCAGTCATAAATATGCAAAGTGATTTTATGAAGACAACTATTCAGTTTTTTCAGACAGAAAAATAAAAAGGCTTAAAAAAAAAAAAAAAAAAAGTGTTTTGGACTTTAGTTGTGATAAAATATTTATGTTTTGTCAGTCTGATTCCTGACAGTAAAGTTCAGCAATGGAAAAAGTACTCTACTTAGCTCTTTGTGCTGCTCTGCTAGCTTAAGTTAGCCAAGAGTCTCACACTACTTCAACTGCTTAAAAAAAAAAGATGTGCTAAAAGATTCAACTTCCACAATCTTTTCAGTGAAACTGAGACATAAAAGTCATTTCTATGTTTTTCATAAAATAATTGTAGTTAGTGTAGATCAAAAAATGCATTGTGCAGATACTGTCATGTAATTGTAGGAATATGACAATAAGAGTTCAGTTCTCTTTTTACTGCTTAACTGCTTTAGCCACAAGTTGATATCACATGCTGAATAAAACTGTTGCAGGAAGATGCTGTGCAGCACCTGTAAGACATCAAAGTTGAACACGTTTCTACCTTTTTTGTACATCTCTGTTCATTGGTAGGTACGAATGCGAGGAATCCTTCACAACTCTGAACGTAGATATAAGAAATCACCAAAACCTTCTTGATTCTTTGGAACAGTATGTCAAAGGAGATCTATTGGAAGGTGCAAATGCATATCATTGTGAAAAATGCAACAAAAAGGTAATGATTCCCTGATATATTCAGTTTGTTTACAGCTGTGATGTTACAGCCATACTAGGTTCAGCCTTAGTTCATGTTCAGGGAAAAGAAGGTTATCCTTTAATTACTGCATTTTGTTGTTGTAAGAGTTTATGAATGGAAACTTAAGAGCTGATAACTGTTCATGTCCTTTTTTAGGTCGATACAGTGAAACGCTTGTTGATTAAGAAGTTGCCTCCAGTCCTTGCAATCCAGTTGAAACGATTTGATTATGACTGGGAAAGGGAATGTGCAATCAAGTTCAATGATTATTTTGAATTTCCACGAGAGCTGGACATGGAGCCTTACACAGTGGCAGGTGTAGCTAAGTTGGAAGGAGATGATGTAAATCCTGAAAATCAGATAATACAGAATGAACAGTCTGAAAATGAACACTCTGGGAGCACAAAATACAGGCTTGTTGGTGTACTTGTACACAGTGGCCAGGCCAGTGGTGGACATTATTACTCTTACATTATCCAGAGGAATGGTGGAGATGGTGAGAAAAATCGGTGGTATAAATTTGATGATGGAGATGTGACAGAGTGTAAAATGGATGATGATGAAGAAATGAAAAATCAGTGTTTTGGTGGAGAATACATGGGAGAAGTGTTTGATCACATGATGAAGCGTATGTCCTACAGACGCCAGAAGAGGTGGTGGAATGCTTATATTCTTTTTTATGAACGCATGGACACAATAGACAAAGACAATGAACTAATAAAATATATTTCAGAACTCACTATCACCACTAAACCCCATCAGATTAAAATGCCATCAGCCATCGAACGAAGTGTACGGAAGCAGAATGTGCAGTTCATGCATAACCGTATGCAGTACAGCCTAGAATATTTCCAGTTCATAAAGAAGTTGCTTACTTGTAATAGTGTCTACTTAAATCCTCCTCCAGGTTAGTATGTTAGTGCAATAATGATGGATTAATTTCTTGCAAGAAGAGTTTTGATTTGTGGTGTCAAGAATTTGTTTAGCCAGTGAAAATTTTGTGCATTCTGCTTTGAATAGTCTTGTCTTTCTGTAGTTCTGCAGTTAAACATCTCTTGTTGAGTTATTCATCAAGTGATAACATGCCAGAATATTTAGCAAAAAAATACTTTGACAAACTATTACTCAGCTTATGTACTGAGTCATGTTCAAGTAAGTTTGTGGGCTGTTCCGCTGAAGACAGTTCTCAGACGTGAGATGCTGACTTTCTAAAATCAGATGTATGTTAGCCTCCAGGTACCATTCTTAAAGCGTGCATTTTCAAATGATACAGTATAGAAACTGGAGGCTGTTTTGATCAAGTTTCTTGTTAAAATTGGAACACAATGTCAGACAAAACAGTAATCTGGAATCAGTTGAATTATTAAAACTAAGTTGCTTTTACTTTGTCTACATGTGAGTATTTTGATTTTTCTTTAGGACAAGATCATCTGTTGCCTGAAGCAGAAGAAATAACTATGATTAGTATTCAGCTTGCTGCTAGATTTCTCTTCACCACGGGATTTCATACAAAGAAAATAGTCCGTGGCCCTGCTAGTGATTGGTATCTTGTCTTTTAACAACAATTACAGTTTTGGAAGTTGGATGTCTGTTAAAAGATCCCAGTTATATACATGTGACAGTAAAAGTTGTTAGTGGTCTGTCCCATTTTCCCCTCTCCCCTGAATATATGGTCAAAGTGCGTATGAAAAGGGGGGAAAGCTTGAACAGAAAGTACTGGGAAGAAACTGAGCCTTAAAATAAGCTGTTGAGCTGAACAGCTTCAAAATTCATTTTCAAACAGAGCTTAAATCTACCTTTTGTCTGTCTGTTAAAAAGAATAAAGGACTAGAATCTATTGCAAAACTGATAGGTTATGTATTCTGACCAATTCAGAATGGTTTGTGTGTGGCTTGAGTAGTTTGAAACAAAGATCTTTTCAACCCATTTTTGCAGCTTCTATTTCTGAAGCGTGTGTAGTCTTTAGACTCTGTTAGCAGAGTGCTTTATGTACATTGCTACGGGGCCAGTAATTCAAATCTGTAGTATAACAAACAGTGCAGTCTTATTCATAGCACTACAGTGTTTTAATCTTTAAGCTAGGTTATTCAGAGGAGTGTGGGTTACTACTAGTAGAACTACAGAGAAAATATAGTATTCCTGAAGACTGGTAATTTACCAGCTACTAGTAAGTAGTTGTGTAATACATGGCAAATAGGTACCTCAAGTTTTCTCCAGTAGCAACTTTCAGAATAGCCAAGTTACTCCTTTTATTTTAAGAGTTCAAGAAGCATTCAAATATTGCTGCAGGAAGGAGGACAGAGTCATACAAGAACCCTCTTGAGAACAGATACTTTACTCTTTAGAGGAGTTTTTGTTGGTTTTGGGGTTTGTTTTTTTTTTTCAGATCTGTAAATGAGAACATAAATTTCTGATAGTTTACATATTTAGTTACCTGTCTTATACACAGCTCATGAAATCCACCTTGTATGTTCTCCACCGTTCACCTTCTCCCCCAGTTCCAGTACAGAGGGAATGATGGCTGCTGATTTAGGACCTGCTTGGAGTAGTAGTTTGGGAGTTAGGGGATGTAATCCTGTCTTAGTTCTTAGGGATGACAGAAGTAAAACGCTACAGTTAAATGTTAGGTTTTTTTAATTGAAGCATCTTTTTAATTTATCTGATTGTAAGCATTTTGTGAGCAAAAATGTTTGGAGATCACCTTTAACATGTATTTTCCTCAAATTCTGCAAAAGAATATGTCTGCCAAAGTTCATTAATGTCTGCATTTGGTCATAATCTCTCAGTTGTGTCATCTTCTATTTCAGGTATGATGCACTATGCATCCTTCTTCGTCACAGCAAGAATGTACGCTTTTGGTTTGCACACAATGTCCTTTTTAATGTTTCAAACCGCTTCTCTGAGTATCTTTTGGAATGCCCTAGTGCAGAAGTGAGGGGTGCATTTGCAAAACTTATAGTATTTATTGCACATTTTTCATTGCAAGACGGACCATGTCCTTCACCTTTTGCCTCTCCTGGACCTTCCAGTCAGGTATTTAACTTTCTAATGAAAAACTTTGGAAACTTATTCTTACTTCTTGATTATAGGAATTTAATGTAAAGTAAATTTTGGAGTAGATGCATCAGTGTTGACAGGAAAGCTCTACAGTCCATTTTGCACTACATAACATGATGTAACTCAGCCAGTTCATGTCAGAGTTGCTGTCAGAGGGGTTCAGTTTTCCTTCATTTGTAAATCTCTGTGAAGGCTAAGTAGTGAGAACTTCGAGTTGAGTTGCGTGTATGAAACCTGCAAAATAAAAGTAGTGGCTTATAATGAAGTAATGTGTAGGGGAGTGAACCTTTGTTTTCATTTAGAAATAAAAAATAAACAACAAAAAAACAACAACAAGCAAACAAAAACCACAAGAACATGCAGGAGTTCTCCAGGTTTTCTTCCCCTGTAATCCTGCAGCATTGAAATTGTCAAAAATTGTAACTTTGCATGGGAGTAGAGAGTGAATTGCCTAATTTTCTCCACCTAGAACTGACAAAAAAAAAGACAAAGTCTTAATGTAATACACAAAATTTTAAAAATCAACCTTTTTAAGCCTTTGCTTTGTCATGTTTTTAATGTCTACATTAAGACAGTTTGTATTTCACTATGCTTACAGTAGTGAAAACATTCTCAGAAGGTATCCAGCAAAAGAATTTGTATTGAGTTAAAGCTATATGTGCTTTGATAGTGTTTTTATTTCATGAGGTATTTGATACACCCGTAAAGGTGATTTGATTGTGTATCTTAGTCTATGAAGTTTGCAGTGGAACTACATGTGCTTTTCTGAGTATTTAAGCATAGCTGCTATTGGAGAAATAGCTCAATTAAAAGCTTCTATATTTGTATAACTTTTTGGACTTACATGTTATTTAGTGATGGGAATCCTATTCCTTGTATGTCTGTCTGTCTTTGTGTGAGACAGAAGACTAACCAGCTGCTGGTATTTTGGAGCTTGTATGAATCCCATACTTTTTAGCCAATTCTGGTTTCTGACGTAGTAGAAAGTATTAAACTAAATATTTGATAGTTTCAACCACTAATATTAAAACTTTTTTTTATAGGCTTATGATAACTTAAGTTTAAGTGATCACTTACTGAGAGCAGTACTAAATCTTCTAAGAAGGGAAGTGTCTGAACATGGGCGCCATTTGCAGCAGTATTTCAATCTGTTTGTGATGTATGCCAATCTAGGTAAGTAAATTAAGCACACTTTTACTGATGGCAATGTAATAAACAGGTTTTTATTAATGATCCAGTTACACAGGTAACAGCAGGAGAATCCAGTTGTTCAGTCTCAGTCAGATCGTTGTCATTAAATGATTGTTGTCATAAATGCTCTGTAGAGCATCTGTCTTCCTCCAGTTTGGAGCTTTAGTGTTCCTGCCATACCTGGAAGATTAACACAGGAAACTTGGAGCAATAAGACTGTGTCCTTCTGAGGGTGTGGGGGTGAAAAAATGGCAAGAGACGTGATTTTTTTTCAGGGCTCATTTGCAGGGCGGTCATCAGGCACAAGAAGCATGTGAGGCTGCCAACTGGTTTGAGCCTGAAGAAGTTGAAGAAGATGAAAGTTCAAAAAAGAGAGAGATGCATGATTCTCCTTTATGGAAGCATCAATACAGATGGTCATGCTTTGTCTGTATATTCCAACTGTGCCCTTTCAATATTAATTTCTGTAGTTCACCTTTGAAGTTCACAGCTATGAATGCAAAACACTGATTCGGTGTCTGTCTTCCCTTCAAAGACGCTTTGGGACGCTGAGGAAGTAGCTCAGTCTGTATGTGTTCTTAGACATCATTGCTTGCCAGAATGCTTTCACCATAGACATCATATGAGGTCAAAGAATGCAGGAATCGGGAAATTCCACTATAAATTTATCAGATGTTGTAGTTCTTCCAAGATAAAAAGGCAAGAAAAGACAGTGTTTTTGCAATATAGGAAAGCTTAAGTAAAGTTGAAATAATGATTCTTTTCATAAAGACTAGGGTCCAAAATTTTCTGATGAAAGTTTAAATTGAAGATTGATTATGATCGCAAATAAGTATTTATTTTTAGCATCTTTGAACTAAGAACAGGATAAAATAATACTAATGGTATTTGAAGTAACTATTCCAAACAAAAATAATTTTTGGAGTTAAGCTGAGATCAGTCCTATTCACATCCAAATGAGCAGCTGTAATTATGCTTTCTGTTATCATTACCAGCATGCTGAAAATCACTTGGTCATTGATTGAATAAACTGTTTCTCAGGTGGGTTAATCTGTTGCTGCTTTATATATTTGCCCTGAGAAAGAGTAATAAAATGCAAATCAAATGAATAAAGGATTTATTTTGCACTCTCAGGTTGATGAGGGTAGTCACAGGTTGATATCTAGTGAATTGTCACAGGGCTGTACATACTTACTTTCCCCAGTTATTAGGGTCTTCTCCCGGGTGCCCGTTTCTTTTTCACATGTGGCGGCCTAAGTGACAACGGCAAGTTGTAAACAAGATATAATATTCTTCTGTAGTGATAGTCTGTTACACTCGCACTCTTCTAGTACAATATATTTTTGTCCTTTTGCATAAAGTAATATGAAGCTAGGAGATCCAGCTCCCTTGGAAATTTTACAAGTTGTCTGTAATACTGAGCAGCTCAGCCATTGCTGGTTATGGGATCATGCAGGCAACTTATAAATGTTGAGTTTCAGTTAGATTACTTTGTGGCTAAAGTGTTAAGCAAGTACATCGATCCAAATGGAGTTATGTCAGTGTTTCCACATAGAATTGACACACACAGAGTTCTGGAAGCTCTTTCGTGTGAGTAGACAATGTTAAAAGAATTTAATTTCCTGTCTGTAAAATTAATCTAGGCAATTGTGTTAATTTATGTGTAATGTATGTTGCTTTCATATACTTTATCTACCAAAGCATTCTCTGTCAGGCAAGGTTCCATCATGACCCCCAAAATGGAATTAATGTAATTACAGAGAAGAGAGATGCAGTTCTGCCCTAACTTCTTTTTTTACCAGTTTTTCATGGTCAGTCAGTGCAGTTGAAGCATCTGACTAGGAAACCATTCAGAAGCCAAATGTGAAAGCATGACTGAATTTTATTTTTGGGTCTGACCGTTATCACAATCTACCCTGCAAAGATAAACATGGAAATATTAAGCAGCTGTGCTTGCCTTACTACTGCTAACTGAAGGCTTCCGTATGGATGTAGAATGTTCATTCAGCAAAAGACACAATGGATCATTCCTGCAGCACCTCAGGTTCTGTGGAAAATATGAAATTGTCTGACATTTTGAGAACTCAAATAATATATTGTTGAGGTTGAGGCGAGAGATCAGTTCTACAAGGGATCTAACTACAGAACTATCTAATGTAATTAAAAAGACACTATAAAAGAGCTCTAGTAAGGTGCTATTTGGTTCCTCCTTATCAGAAAGGTGGTAGGTCAGGTCCAGTTGTATTTCAGAATAAGAAAAAAGTTGGAAATGTATGAAAAATCATTACTTTTAACCAAACTGAGAAACAGAATACAAGATCAGAAGGGACATACCAAATTTACTGGTAAGTACTTGTGTAGTATGTGCAAGGTATTCTTGCAGTGAAACTAGCTGTATGTTTGGTTTTTTGGTTGGTTTTAGAGGTTTTTTGTTTTTTCTTAAATTGATTTTGTCACTCTTATTTACACCTGCTGCATAGTATGGCACAGTTGGAAATGTCTTAAATTTGTAAGTTATGTATCTAGGACATGTTGGAAAATAACTAAATATGCTGGGGAGGGGGGGGGATGTTCATCCTGTCCTCCATAGGGCCTCACAATAAAAAGATTCAACTTTTTTGTACAAAAGACTTCTCTGAGGTTTTGCTGTTAACACAGATGATAATTACGTAAGTACCTGTGAGCACCATTAAGAAATTGGAGTCATTTACAGCTCTTCTTCAGTGTGACTTTTCAGCTGAACATAATTTTCTTGTACATCTTTACTGATTAATTTTTTTTTCCTCTGAAAGCATAAGTGATGGCTGTAGTAAAATTCAGCAACTGAAAAGTTACAAACCATGTAAACAGTAGTTCTACTTAAAAAAAAAAAAAAAAGTATTGTCAATGCATCTTTTTTTTTTTGTTTTTTTTTTCCTTTTCCCATGTAAAGGTGTAGCAGAGAAGACACAACTTCTGAAACTTAATGTTCCTGCAACCTTCATGCTGGTGGCTCTGGACGAAGGTCCAGGTCCTCCAATTAAATACCAGTATGCTGAACTGGGGAAGCTATACACCGTTGTGTCACAACTGATCCGTTGTTGCAATGTGTCATCACGGATGCAGTCTTCTATCAATGGTATAGTGAATTTTAAGTTTTCTTTAGATTAATTGAATATATGAGTAAATGTATTTTGTGTGTATTTACCTATTATGTG